GGGAAGAAAACTGCTGGGTGGTATTGATAGAAATCTATGGAAAGTGAAGAGATCTTAAGCAAGTGATGGTTCAGCTAGATAATATCTCTACACATGCCTTTAATCCTGTATTCATAATTTCTTTGTGGTTTCTAGGTATATATTATACTTCATGGGAGAAGGTATACACTATAGCAGTGCTTGAGAATCTGGTGTTCTGTAAAAACCTGGAGAACATCAAGCATCTGGCGTATTGATCCCCAGAATTTTGGGCATGTTTACTTGCAAACTCTTCCTTTACAGATAATTCAAAGTAATGTTTAGCTTGAAATATATTAAATTCTGGGACGCCTGGGTGGCTCAGTTGGTTAAGCCGCTGCCTTCGGCTCAGGTCATGATCCCAGCGTCCTGGGATCGAGTCCCACCTCGGGCTCCTTGCTCAGCGGGAGCCTGCTTCTCCATCTGCCTCTGCCTGCCACTCTGTCTGCCTGTGCTCACTCTGACAAATAAATAAATAAAATCTTAAAAAAAAAAAGAAATATATTAAATTATCAAATTCTGTTGACAAATTAGCATTGTACCCATTATGAATAATGTCTCTATACTTGACATTTTTACCATCTAGGGCCCAGAAGAATGGAAAGAAGGCAAAATTCCTTTAAATTTGTGAATCATTTAGAACATCAAAAACAATTTCATTTCACAGATCTTTAAAGAATTTCACTTATCATATCCAACTAGCAAGCACACAGTTCATCTACTGGTCATTATTTTGAGGAAGAAAAATTCCTTTATTTAACTCTAGAATGTAATCTCTAAGAATTTCCAAGTATTTTGTAAGTTTATTCGTAACACTTCATGTGGGTAAGTAAAGACATTTCAAGATAATTCCAAAATCACAACTCTGAACACTGACTCCTGTTCAGGTATTATAGTGGCCTCTGCAACAAGGGGACGGCCACTTCAGCTTGTCTGGTTTGGTGAGGTTATTGTCGAGAAGCTCTGTAGATTCATCCCTGCTGGTTCTTAGGAAGCACAAGCTAGACTTACTGGGGGAGTGAGAGGAGAAGGCCAGAGTCATAAAAAATTTCGGTCTGTTGGGATGCCTGCGGGGCTCAGTCAGTTAAGCATCTGCCTTCGGCTTAAGGTCATGATCCCAGGGTCCTGGGATGGAGCCCCACGATCAGGCTCCTTGCTCAGTGGGGAGCCTGTTTCTCCCTCTGCTTACCTTCCCCCTGCTTGTGCTCACTCTTTCTCTCTCTCTCTGACAAATACATAAAAATAAAATCTTTTTTAAAATTTCAGAATGTTGGGATGCCTGGGTGGCTCAGTTGGTTAAGCAGCTGCCTTCAGCTCGGGTCATGATTCCAGCGTCTTGGGATCGAGTCCCACATCTGGCTCCTTGCTTGGTGGGGAAGCCTGCTTCTCCCTCTGACTCTGCCTGCCATTCTGCCTGCCTGTGCTCACTCCTTCGCTCTCTTGCTCTCTCTCACAAATAAATAAATAAAATCTTTAAATATAAATAAATAAAATAAAATTTCAGAATGTTTATAAATTATTTTTTTTAAAGATTTTATTTATTTATTTGTCAGAGAGAGAGAGAGAGCGAGCACAGGCAGACAGAGTGGCAGGCAGAGGCAGAGGGAGAAGCAGGCTCCCCACAGAACAAGGAGCCCGATGTGGGACTTGATCCCAGGACGCTGGGATCATGACCTGAGCCGAAGGCAGCTGCTTAACCAACTGAGCCACCCAGGTGTCCCTATAAATTATTATTTTTTTTTTTTAAGATTTTATTTATTTATTTGACAGAGAAAGATCACAAGTAGATGGAGAGGCAGGCAGAGAGAGAGAGAGAGAGGGAAGCAGGCTTCTTGCTGAGCAGAGAGCCCGATGCGGGACTCGATCCCAGGACCCTGAGATCATGACCTGAGCCGAAGGCAGCAGCTTAACCCACTGAGCCACCCAGGCGCCCATAAATTATTTTTTTTAAGATTTTATTTATTGGGACGCCTGGGTGGCTCAGTTGGTTAAGCAGCTGCCTTCGGCTCAGGTCATGATCCCAGCGTCCTGGGATCGAGTCCCACATCGGGCTCCTTGCTCATCAGGGAGCCTGCTTCTCCCTCTGCCTCTGCCTGCCATTCTGTCTGCCTGTGCTTGCTCTCTCTCCCTCTCTCTCTCTCTGAAAAATAAATAAATTAAAAAAAAAAAAAAAAAAGATTTTATTTATTTATTTGACAGACAGAGATCACAAGTAGGCAGAGAAGCAGGCAGAGAGAGAGGAGGAAGCAGGCTCTCTGCTGAGCAGAGTGCCCGATGCGGGGCTCGATCCCAAGACCCTGGGATCATGACCTGAGCTGAAGGCAGAGGCTTTAACCCACTGAGCCACCCAGGCACCCCTGTTTAGAAATTATTTAACAATAAACACTTAAAAAAAATTATTGTTGGGGGACCTGGGTGGCTCAGTGGATAAGCATCTGCCTTCAGTGCAGGTCATGATCCCGGGGTCCTGGGGTGGAGCCCATCATGCTCCCTGCTCAGTGGGGAGTCTGCTTCTCCCTCTCCCACTTCCCTTCCCCTCTGCTCATGCTCACTCTCTCTCTCTCTCTGTCTAAAATAAACACATAAAATCTATAATAAATTGAAAAATTTGTCTTTTGGGGAACAGATACAAGAAAAAGACATTGGCTTTGTCATTCCTGAAATTGCCTAGTTTTACAGTATTGTTTCATCTCAACTTCTTTGCAAGGAAATTCAAATGGCTAATAAATATACGAATAAAATACAGTGTCAAAAACTTAAAACTTTTAAATGCCCAAGTTTGGTAAGGGGAAATAGGATCCCTGATACATTACTGGTAGGAATATAAATTGTTTCAAACTTTCCAAAGGATAACCTGATAATATGCTATATAGAAGCCTTAAAAGAAATTTATACTTTTTGACCCAGCAATTCCATTTCAAGGAATTTATCCAAAGAATTACTCACAGATATGTGTAATAATATAGCTAAAAGGAGATTTATAATAGCATTATGATAACAACTCCAAACTAGAAACAATGACTAATAAGTAACTGACTTAAATTATGGTAAATCAGTAAAACAGAATATTATGCTGTTATTTAAAAAGGGTATGGTTGAAAATTATTTTAAAAACTTGAGTTACAGGGCACCTGGGTGGCTCAGTGAGTTAAGTGTCCAACTCTTGATTTCGGCTCAGGTCATATTTCAGGGTCATGAGATTAAGCCCTGTGACAGGCTCTGCACTCCACAGGGAGTCTGCTTCTCTTCCTCTCCCTCTGTCCCTCCCCCTGCATGTGCGCACACAGGCATGCTCTCTCAAATAAATAAAATCTTTAAGGAAAAAAAAAAAAAAAAAACAGAACAACTTAAGTTACATCCTCTGATCAAAAACCTCCAATGACTATTCAAGCCATTTGGGAAAAAAATCCAAAATCTTATTATGACCTATTAGGCCCCATCTGGCCTGGTTCCTGACTTCCTACCTCAGGGAGGACAACTTCCCCCTGCCCCCGCCTCATTCAACTCTTCTGCTCTTACTCAATCATATCAAGTACCTTCGATTTCAGGACATCTACCTTTGGGGTCCCACCTCAGTCTGGAACACCAGTCCCTTGGTCAACTCTAGAGCTTACATCCTCACTATCTAGAGCTTATATCCACCCAAGCTTTTGTATGTTTTGTTTTTCTTCATTGCCTTCATCACCACCCGTATTATATAATCTATTGCTTATGTACTCTACAAATATTTTCTAGTTTGCCTCCCTGTACTGTAATAGAAGTTCTAGGGAAGCAAGGACTTCGTTTCATATTTTTCTGTATCTCTGATGCCCAGAACAGCACCTGGCTTAAAGTAGGCATTCAGGAAATATACCAAATGAATGAATAACATGAAAAAATTCATCTTTACATATTAAGTAAAAAAAAATAAAAGATCCAAAACAATATGTATAGTATGGTTTCATTTTCTACATCAAAGAATAAGAAAAAATGCAAGAAAGATGACAATCAAAATGTCAGCAATATTTATGAGGTGCCTGGGTGGGGTAGTCAATTAAGCATCCAATTCTTGGTTTTGGGTCAGGTCGTGCTCAGGGTCACGATTGAGCCCCACCTCAGCTCTCCATCTCCCTCTGCCCCTCCCCCTGCACACTCTGTGACCCTCAAATAAATGAATAAATCTTTAAAAAAAAGTTACCAATATTTAAACTGTAAGTGAGTGATCTATAGGTACCTTTCATAGTTGCTTTTTTATTTAGTAAAGTTTCTGCAATGGACAAATATTGCTTGTATATTAAGGAAAGAAGTGCATGCTTTTTTAAAGAAATAAATAACAACCTACCAGTCCATTTAAGTTCTTTATGTTGTTTCTTCCTAAAGACAATATCCTCAAGTTTTCTGCAGTGGGGAAAAAAAAAACACAGTTATTTGTTTATGAGAATCATATTACAGCTGTTGTAAATCTAGTATAATGAAGTGTTAATAAACTATATAATAAATATACTTATCTAATGAGTAAGAAAGGCTGTATTAATAAAAAGTGGTATTCAAGTAGGAAATTGATTTACTTATCCTTACTTATCATTGAAGGTAAACACTACAACTATAATTTCACATCACGACAACATGAAATTTACAAATGGTCAGCTATTTTGAAAGCATGGTTTTAAATTGCTGGCTAGGAAAAATACTTCAGGAATAAAATAAGTAAAGAAGATCTGAACTTTAAATTTGGAAGCATATATATTTCAAATCTACTATAGCATAAGGACTCACATTAGAAAATAGGAACATATCTATGTATAGCCCGCCTCACTCCACAAAGGATTAAAAGTGAAATCAAATGAATTAGTATTTTAAAATCTTTTGCTTTCAAACTTTTAAGAGTTAGATTGTGATTTGCTTTAAAAATGCTTATTTGTGGGGTGTCTGGGTGGCTCATGCCATGCCTTCGGGTCAGGCCATGATCTCAGGGTCCTGGGATCCAGCCCTGCATTTAGCCCCACATCCAGCCCTGCATCGGGCTGCCTGCTCTGCGGGAAGCCTGCTTCTCCCTCTCTCACTCCCCCTGCTGGTGTGCCCTCTCTCGCTGTGTCTCTCTCTGTCAAATAATAAAGAAAATCTAAAAAAATTTTTAAAAAAAGACAGATAAGGAGTACAACAAAAACAATGATGGTGAGGAATTAAAATTTAAATATTACAAGTATTAAACACAAGACAGATTTGAAAAATTTATAATTAAAAAATCTAATTCTTCCATTTAATTCTAACTCTAAGAAAGCTTTAAAATGTCTTTAAAATGTTCAGATCTTGTGTTCTAATGTTCTTTGGATGACCACATTTTTTTTTAATATTTTATTTATTCATTTGACAGACAGAGATCACAAGTAGACAGAGAGGCAGACAGAGAGAGAGGGAGGCGTTCTCGATCCCAGAACACTGAGACCATGACCCGAGCCGAAGGCAGAGGCCCCAACCCACTGAGCCACCCAGGCGCCCCTGGATGACCACATTTAAGACACATGGTTGATATAGTCTCTCTGCCACCTGACAATTACTGTAGTTAAAACAGGTGCCAGTTTCTGGGATTACATAGTGTCTCTGGAATGTTTATTCCAAAAACGAGAAAATCCAAGAACCATCTGTTACTGTGGATCACTTACTTAAGCCATTGAGGTTGGCAATTTTTTCAATGCAGTTTGTAGACAGTGAAAGCTTCCTTAAAAAGAACAAAGGAAAACTTGACTTAATACAAAACAATTTTAAGTGGTATATCAGAAAAATAAATAAATAAATAAATAAATACTGTATCAGGAATTAATCAAGTGCCCATACAAGATAACATTTAAGTCATGTTTTCTTCTTTTTTTTTTTTAAGATTTTATTTATTTATTTGACAGAGAGATCACAAGCAGGCAGAGAGGCAGACAGAGAGAGAGGAGGAAGCAGGCTCCCCGCTGAGCAGAGAGCCCGATGCGGGGCTCGATCCCAGGACTCTGAGATCATGACCTGAGCCGAAGGCAGCGGCTTAACCCACTGAACCACCCAGGCGCCCCTAGTCATGTTTTCTTTTTACACCGAATCCTTTTTTTCCCTCTCAGACATGGCATGTATTCTTTCATTTTGAAATCAATCCTCATACTTTTTTCCTGATTACAGAAGTTAATACATATTTATGTAGAAAATTTTAAAAAAACTTTCTGAAGGTAATTTGATGTTACCCATTAAGTTATTTAAATGCATGCATTCCTTGACCCAGTAATGGATTTCTAGGAATATATCCTACTGAAATGCCAATGCCAACAGACCTATAAGCTAGATTATTTAGTGTATTATTGTAATAGCAAAAAAACGGGGAAAAATCTGTAAACATATAGAAACTGAGGGATAGATAATGGAAAACTATGCTGTCACTAATACAAATGAAACTGGGCTCCAGATACCAGTTTGGGAAGATGTCCATGATGTGCGCTCAAGTTGAAAACCACCTAGCAGAACAATACATTTTATATGATTCCTTTTGATAAAAAGCAGAACGATATATATGCATGTACAAAGATATTTATTTGCTTGTGTGTTAAATCATTCAGAAATGTATACTGAGGAAGTCATATGTAATCCTAACCACTCCACAGATTTTCCCAGAGAGAACTACTTTTAATGGTTTGTATATATTTGTCTAGGTTTTTTCTACTCATAACTCAGTTATATAAAAAAAAAATTTAGGGGTGCCTCGGTGTCTCAGTTGGTTAAGCCTCTGACTGTTGATCTCAGCTCAGGTCTTGATCTCAGGGTCATGAGTTCAGGCCCCGAAAAACAAAAGAAAGAAAAGAAAAAATATTTTACAGGGACATAACTACACATTCTTAGTCATCCTTTCTTGACAAAATATTTAATGTTTTAGTTTACTTCATGCAAACAGTATGATAAAAGCTAATTTTATTGAACACAATCTGTGCTCAGTACTCTTCCAAGTACTTTACATAAACTGTTTTAACTATCACAACAATCCTGTGAAATAAGTACTGTTGTTATCACCCATATTTTACAAATGAGTAAACTGAGGTACAAAGATGTTAAGCAATTTGCCTAATATTACATAGCCAGAAATGGGCAGAGTCTAATTTAAATCCCTCTAAAACTGACTCTAAAACATGTGGTCTTATCCTTTCTGATATGACTTGAAAAAGAATTATTCATTTTTTTTAATAAAAGCAACTACTGTGCAGTGTAAGTTACTGGTCAAATCTGTATATTTTCCAATAATCCCCAACTCCTGACTACTACAAGTGGAAAATGCCTTAAATCTGGGAATATGATTGGGGATGAATTCTTTTTTTTTTTTTTAAAGATTTTATTTATCTATTTGACAGATAGAGATCACAAGTAGGCAGAGAAGCAGGCAGAGAGAGAGGAGGAAGCAGGCTCCCTGCCAAGCTGAGAGCCCGATGCGGGGCTCGATCCCAGGATCCCGGGATCATGACCTGAGCCGAAGGCAGAGGCTTTAACCCACTGAGCCACCCAGGCGCCCCTGGGGATGAATTCTTTAATTGGTGTCCAGGCAACCTGCCCAAAGAGATTATCAGCAAAAATCCGAACAGGCTGACTATTTCCAAGCAGCTTCCTAGTACTCTGGTACTAGGTACAAAACCTTCTCAAATATTTGCCTTTGAGATGGCCTTATGATAAAAAGATATCTGACCATTTGGAAACAGTGCTCTTTGAAATCATGCTTTTGAAGCAAAAAAAAAAAAAAAAAAAAAAATCTAAGATGGAATTTTATATAATACACTGTGCTGTCATCATAAAGGACAAGTTGCACACAATAACTAAATATGTTTGCTTTTCCCTTTCATTCCAAAGACAGATACTAGTCTAATGCATGGGTTCACAAATTATGTGTCTAAGAGTTACTCAAGTTGCTTATTATAAATACAGATTGGGGTGCCTGGGTGGCTCAGTCATTAAGCATCTATCTTCGGCTCAGATCATGATCCCAGGATTCTGGGATCGAGCCCCACATCAGGCTCCCTGCTCGATGGGGAGCCTGCTTCTCTCTCTCCCAGTCCCCCTGCTTGTGTTTCCTCTTTCACTGTCTCTGTCAAATAAATGAATACACTCTTAAAAAAAAAAAAAAAAGATTCCTAGGTTTCATCAGTAGCTATTTTGTTTCTGTAAATTGGGATGGGGCTAATCTCCTGTATAAGGAGATTCTTATGTTGGTAGTCAGTGCACTACACTTCGAAACACACAAGGTGGAGAAAGCAGAAAGAACCCCAGGTGTTTCTACAATATTCTACAGCTCTGAGAAGAGACACTGCTGCCAGAGAGCATGGTCACAAGGTGTCATGGTTGAACTGCCTCAAATTTGCCACAGAAGCTTGCTAAAAAGTATATAAGTATTTAGAAAATAAGTTAAGAGGATGAGTCCTAGGATCAAGTCCCGTATGGGGCTCCCTGCTCAGAAGGGAGTCTGCTTCTCCCTCTGACTCTCCACTTCTCCTGCTCTCTCTCTCAAATTAAAAAAAAAGAAAAGAAAGAAAAGAAGTTAAGGGGAATTAATATAGATTTGGTACTTAAAGTCATGGGAAAATAGAATTACAAAATAATAAGTATAGTTTGATCCCAATTGGGAAAAAAAATTAGAAGGCTCTGTATCAGAATGCTAATACTGGTTCTCAAAAGGTGGTACAATTTTGGTTAATATTAACTCTTTCTTTTGTGCTCTTTGTATTTTCTAGATGTTTTACAATGTATTTTTATAATTTGAAAAAAATTTTACAGCAGTATCTCTTAGTCCTCTGCTAAGTATAGTGCTGACTGGCTAATCTTATAAGAGAAAGTATTAGATTTTATGGCAGGATAATAGTATTACTGTGTTATTTAGTTTCTCCCAAGAGACAAGGAAACTTCTATTCTCCAGGCACATTATACAAATTTTACTGTAAAAAAATACTACATTGTTCAGGGTTACTTGATTCGTAGTCCCATAAACCAGTAATCTCTTATGTTTGGCCTTGCCAAAGGGGGAACTGCATTAACCAAACAAACAAACAAAGAGAAATGAAGATCACAGGAAACAAACACATTTTTTCTGGTTTGTGTATTTAGAAAAGAAAGGGAAAAAAGACAAGAGAACTTACTCGCAATTAGCAAGCGTGGACAAGGAGGCATCCATCTTCTCTATAGGGGGAATCTGAGCATAAAGCTTAATCTCTTTGGCTTCGGATGGCTTCTGACTGGTTTTCTCTTCCTATGACAAAAATTAGTTTGGAAGAAAGTGAAACCTGATTGTAACACAGAACTAAAAAAGTACAGACTACCCTAAGGCTTTTCAAAGTTTATTTCAAAACAATTCTTAGAATTTGATAACTCTGCATTCTTTACAGTTCACTTACTGACATTTACTAACTGGCCCTGACAACCAGGCTTCTACCTGGCCAGTTCAGATAATTTACTGATAGGTCCCAACCAAGTGGAAGGGAGGAGGAAAGAAAATAACTTTCATTTCTGTAGTATTTAAAATCCTTGGGATGCCTGGGTGGCGCCGTGGATTAAGCATCTGCCTCCAGCTCAGGTCATGATCCCAGCACCCTGGGATCAGTCCCACATCAGGTTCCTTGCTCAGCGGGGAGTCTGCTTCCTCCCTCTGCCTGCCGCTCCCCCTGCTTGTACTCTCTGACAAATAAGTCAATATATAAAATCTTTAAAATAAAATAAAATAAGAGCCTTTAAGAGTTGGGACACTTGAATGGCTCAGTCAGTTAAGCGTCTGCCTTCGGCTCAGGTCATGACACCAGGGTCCCAGGATCGAGTCCCCCATCGGGCTCCTTGCTCAGCGGGGAGCCTGCTTCTCCCTCTGCTTGCCGCTCCCCCTGCCTGTGCTCGCACTCTCTCTCCCTCTCTCCCTCTGACAAATAAACAAACAAAAGCATTTTTAAAAAATCCTTTAAGAGGGGCACCTGGGTGGCTCAGTGGGTTAAAGCCTCCGCCTTCGGCTCAGGTCATGATCCCAGAGTCCTGGGATCGAGCCCCACATCGGGCTCTCTGCCCAGTGGCGAGCCTGCTTCCCCTTCTCTCTCTGCCTGCCTCTCTGCCTACTTGTGATTTCTCTCTCTGTCAAATAAATAAAGAAAATTTAAAAAATAAATAAATAAATAAATAAAAAATAAAAAATCCTTTAAGAGTCTAACAATAAACAAAAATACAATAACAACATTTTCTTCGGAAGAGTTCTTTGTCCCTAAGCACCCTTTTCTTAAATATCAGATTTAGATCTATAAGATCAACTATTTTGTCATCTTATCTTGCTTTTTCTTTTTCTTTTAATTTTATTTATTCATTTGCCAGAGACAAAGAGTAAAGCAGGGGGAGCAGCAGACAGAGGGAGAAGCAGGCTTCCAGCCAAGCAAGGAATCTGATGCCGTGACTCCATCCCAGGACCCTGGGATCATGACTTGAGCCGAAGGCAAGACACTTTACCGACTGAGCCACCCAGGCGTCCCTCTTCTTGTTTTTTCTGCACACAGTTCAGTCTGAGATAGAGCTCCAAAATACCAAGAATTCGGGAAGATGTCATCCTTACAACACAGTCAAAGTCAAAGATAATAATTTACTCTATAATAATTTACTACTAAATTCTATCTTAGATTTTCAGTACTATGTACACAATTTAATATTACCAATATATGCTGCCTAATAATATTTTCAAAGTACCTCCCTACTTAAAGTTAGTTCTCTCTCTCCAACAAAACAGAAAGCTCCTGAAGTGCAGGACCATTTCCTTTGCTTTCCTGCATTTTCTATAACAGTGTACTAGCAGACATGCAGAGCCTTATTTTTTTTTTAAGATTTTATTTACTTATTTCACAGACAGAGATCACAAGTAGGCAGAGAGGCAGGCAGAGAGAGAGGGGAAAGCAGGCTCCCTCAGAGCAGAGAGCCCCATGCAGGGCTCGATCCCAGAACCCTGAGATCATGACCTGAGCCGAAGGCAGAGGCTTTAACCCACTGAGCCACCCAGGCGCCCCCAGAGCCTTATTTTTAAAATTCAAATTGTAACATGTCAATACTAGAAAATACACAATTAAAAAAACAGCAAAAAAGAAAATACGCAGTACGTTGAAAGAAAAAGATCTAATACATATACACTGAATACTTATTTTTGTGTCATACATTTGTAGGTTATGAGAGGGAAATTGATACATAGTAGATCCTGAATAAATGTTAGGTTAATCAGTGAAAGAACGAGCTTAATATCTTCAATCAATCTTAAAGTTAAAGATTTATGGCCACAATATAATCTAGAAATAGAACCTACATCCCAAAACAAAAAAGCAACCACTTATTATTATAAGTAAATTAAGTCCTAAAATCTAATTCAAAGAAAATCTAATCTAATACTAAGCTTATTCCATATTTACTTTTCTTCTTTAAGAAAACAGATTTTTCATTAACCAAACAGAAATGAATTTTTAAATGTGAAGTACAGAGAAGTTTATAAGCACCAAAACAAGAATTCAAATATTTCATTATTCTATCCACCTTATTTTCCCTACACACAAGTCTCCTGAAAGACTTTCTTTTTTCCTGAAAGACTTTTGATTCAAAGCTCAGCCTCAAAAGCAAAAGACATATATTATTCAAAAAACTACTGATAATATCCACAAAAAAGTTATCACTGGGCATAGAAATTGAGGAGCTATGTCAATACTCTAAGGAAATTCTATTTATGATGCTGAATTACAACTGTTCAAACTTTATAGAATGATTTATTCAAAATATCTATAGTTTATATTCAATTCATTTATTTTATAATGCAGTTTCCTTTCTTATGTTAATATATACCTTAATATTTTTTCCAGCATTATTGACACGTAACATTGTATAAGTTTAAGGTGATGATCTGATACCTGTATATACTGTGAAATGATTAACACAATTAGGTTAGCTAACACATCCATCACCTAATTTTTTACTTTGGGTGCTAAGAAAATTTAAGATCCACTCTCTTAGCAACTTTCAAGTATATAATGCAATATTATTAACTATAGTCACCATGCCGTATATCAGATCCCCAGGACTTGGCTTATAACTGGATGTCTGTACCCTTTGACCAACATCTCCCATTTACCCCACACCCAAATCCCCGGCAATCACTGTTCTACTCTTCATTTCCGGGTTCAGCTTTTTTAGATTTCACATATGTGTGAGATCACAGAGTATGTGTCTTTCTCTGTCTGAATTATGTCACTTTGCATAATGCACTCAAGGACCGTCCATGTTGTAAATGGAAGGATTTCCTTCTTTTTTGTGGCTGAATAATATTCCACTCTGTAGATATATAATGTTTTTTATCCATTTACCCACTGATGGGACATGTAGGATGTTGATATTGATATAATCCACTGATTTTGATCAGACTTTCCCAGTTTTACTAGTACTCATTTATACACAGTGTGAATGCATTGGTATGTGAGTATTAAATGTATACAATTTTATCACCTATACAGGTTCATGTACCCGCTGCCACAGTTAAGACAGTTAAATAGTTCCAGTGCCACAAAGGTTCCTTGTGCTGACTGGTCAGATTTAAATAACTATCCAATAATTCTTGTATGGTTTCTGAAAGAGGTAAAAATTCATACACTCACCCATCTGGCTAGAGCTTCTTTGATTGTTGTTGCTTTTGCCTTAAAAGGAAAGGAAACAAGAGTATCTTTATTGGTATGATTTATTGATTCAATTTTCAGACAATGATTATTAGCCTCAGCATCTACCACTGAAAAGATTAACTTCTTTCTTTGAGACCTTACATGCAAACGAAGTGTTTTAACTTCCTCAAATCAGGATGATTTATTTAAATGCCTCTCAGAGAAATTAAGGAAATCATCATGTAATGCCCATATACTTCTCTCCCACTTGGTTTACAAAAAAGATACAGTTTTCAACATTTGATATTACAATAGATCTTATGGGGCACCTGGGTGGCTCATTGGGTTAAGCCTCTGCCTTTGTTTGGCTCAGGTCGTGATCTCAGGGTCCTGGGATCAAGCCCTGCCTCGGGCTCTTTGCTCAGTGGGGAGCCTGCTTCCCTCTCTCTCTGCCTACTTGTGATCTCTCTCTGTGTCAAATAAATAAATAAAATCTTTAAAATAAAATTTAAAAAATAGATCTTATTTCATTGATTCTAAGATCAACAACTTTTACGTTTTAACATCTTTGAAATTTGGATGCATTTTACAACCAGGAACAATCTACAATTACTGTGGCCGGGTAGCAATGGTGATGATCTAGAAAAATATTAAGCAATTTATTTAATATACGTATATTCTTTTTTATGTTTGCAAATAATGACTTACGATAAAAACCTACATGCCTAAATACATTTAAAAGAACTTTGTCGGGGCGCCTGGGTGGCTCAGTGGGATAAGCCTCTGCCTTCAGCTCGGTCCCGATCCCAGAGTCCTGGGATTGAGCCCCCCCATCGGGCTCTCTGCTCAGCGGGGAGCCTGCTTCCTCCTCTCTCTCTGCCTGCCTCTCTGCCTACTTGTGATCTCTCTCTGTCAAATAAGTAAATAAAATCTTAAAAAAAAAAAGAACTTTGTCGATAGGCACAAAATAAAAATTCTAAGTGATAAGAAATTACTTGTCATGATTCATTTCCAATTACTTATTTTTCTTTCTTAAAACATAAAATAACGTTGCACCTTATAATCAATAGTATCTTAGATTCAATTTAATATGACACTTAAAACTTACTTTATTTTACTTTTTTAAGATTTTATTTATTTGACAGACAGATCACAACTAGGCAGAGAGGCAGGCAGGGAGAGAAGTAAGCAGGCTCCCTGCTGAGCAGAGAGCCCGATGTGGGGCCTGATCCCAGGACCCCGGGACCGTGACCCTATCCTAAGGCAGAGGCTTTAACCCACTGAGCCACCCAGGCGCCCGAACACTTAAAACTTTAAATGTGAGAAAAGGGAGACATCTTTTCATTACTGCTAGAGTTCATTTAGAAAAATTCCTAAGCAGGGGTGCCTGGATGGCTTAGTGGGTTGAAGCCTCTGCCTTTCGCCCCAGTCGTGGTCCCAGGGTCCTGGGATCGAGTCCCATGTCAGGCTCTCTGCTCCATGCGGAGCCTGCTTCCTCCTCTCTCTCTGCCTGCCTTCCTCTATGCCTACTTGTGATCTCTGGCTGTCAAATAAATAAATAAACTCTTTTAAAAAAATCCTAAGGAATAACAAAAGGAAAAGTTTAAAAGTACAGTTAACTCTCCAACAAGACAGGCATTAGGGACACCAACCTCTCCCGCCCCAAACCCACAACACAGTAAAAAATCTGAGTATAACTTCTGACTTGCCAAAAACTACTAAAAGCCTACTATCAACCAGAACCTTACAAATAACATAAACATTTGATTAATGCACATTTTGCTCGTCACATGCATTATATACTGTATTCTTACAATAAAGTAAACTACAAAAAAGAAAATATTATTATGAAAATCATAAGAGGGGTGAATGGGTGGCTCAGTAGGTTAAGCATCTGACCCTTAGTTTTGGCTCTGGTCATGACCTCAGTCAGGGTCGAGAGATAGAGCCCCATATTGGGCTCAGCGTGGAGTCTGCTCAAGATTCTCCCTCCCTCTCAGCCCCTCCCCTGACTCATGTGCTCTCTCTCAAATAAATTTTTAAAAAAGAAAAAAAAATCATAAGAGGAAATACACTTACAGTATTACAGTGTATTTATTGGAAAAAAATCTGCATATAAATGGATCAGTACAGTTCAGACCTACAGTGCTCAACTGTATATACCATTACATCTAGAAAGCAAAGACATAGTAATAAATAATCGTTGGGTTAAAAGTAAATTATAAACTACAGTAAAACAAAAAAGATAAAAGAAGAAATATAAAAATTTTAGGAATATAACATTTAAAAGGAAACTTACAGTTTCAAATATATTTATCTATTCAAAAATTAAGAGAAAATAAGAAACAGAAAACAAGCAAAGTATTTGAGATATTTGAAAAAGCACATCGTTGCAAACACAAAGAAGGCTAAGGAAAATACAAAGGAATAAGTCTATAAAAAACAGACCTGAAGAAAAAAAGCTTAACAAAACTAAAATCTGGTTCCTAAATCTCTAGCAAGCCTGACTGAGCAAAAAGAGAGCTGTATGACGAAAACTGAGAATCAGAGGAAATAACAGATACCACGAAGATTTAAAAATAAAATATCATAAGCAAACATATGGTAGTTTGAAAACCTAGACAAAGAATGCATTTCTAGAAAAAAACACAAAAGTGTCAAACTGTCACAGGAAGAATCAGAAAATCTGAATAGACCAATAATTATTTTCAATGTTAAAAAGATAACCAGAGATTTACCCTTATCCTCTTCCCCTACATCTCCAAGCTTAGATAATTTTACAAGTAAATCCTGACAAGGTTTCAAGGAACAGATATTCTCTGTTAACAGACAAGTTGTTTTAGAAACCAGAAAAGGAGGGAAAGCTGCCAATTTATTTTTTGAGGCTAGAATAACCTTGATGTCATAACCAGATAAGAGGCCCTCCTTACTTCTCAACACAGATGTGAAAATCCTAGATACAACATTAGATCTCCAAAGCCAATGGTGAATAATAATCGGGGTCAAGAATGGCTGATCCCAGGAGCATAAGGAGTGATTAACCAAAAAACCCTATAAATGTAAATCACCTATTTATGGATTAAAGGGGAAAAAAATCACATTTATTTCAGTAAGTGAGGAAAAAGTACTTTATAAAATAGTTGTACATCTGGGGCACCTGGGTGGCTCAGTCAGTTAAGAGTCTCCCTTCAGCTCAGGTCATGATCCCTGGACCCTGGGGTAGAGCCCTTCCCCTCCCACAGCCCGCTTCTCCCTCCCCCTCTCCTTCTCCCTCTGTCTGCCGCTCCCCCTGCTTGTGCACTCCCTCTCTCTCTCTCTCTCAATAAATACAATCTTTAAAAAAAATAACATTCTACATCTAACATTAAAAGCTCTCAACTAAGAGTTACAAGGAAATTCTTTACTTGGTAAAAGCTACATACCAAAAAGCTATCATAAACGCCAGACTTAATGAAGACATCCATTCATTTCAGCAAATATTCGTTAAGTGTCTATTATATACCAAACATACTTTTACATGTTTGGGAAATATCAAGGAAAAAAAACAAAGATTCCCACCTTCTGTAACTTACATCCACTGGCAGGAGACACATGGTAAATAATATTAAATAAATACATTTTATAGTATATTAGAAAGTGACAATTACTAAGGAAAAAGAAAATACAAAAATAAAAACAAAAATGCTGAATTTGGAAGAGGTATCAGGATGTGTGTTTATGTGTATAAAGTATGTGTATTTTAAATAAACGGAAAGAAGAGCAAATTGGGAAGATAACACTAGAAGTCTTCTCTTTATGATCCCCAATACATCAAAGATCCCTACTATCACTGCTGTTGTTTAACATGGTACAAGAGATCTTTATTAATGTTATAATAAAAGAAAATACAAATTGGAATGATTTAAAGGAAGAAATAAAACGCACTATGCATACATGATCATTTACATAGGAAATACAATAGAACAAACTGAGAAATAGAACAAATGGAATTCAGCAAGTGAAGAACATTGTTGAGAGAGTTAACAGAAAAGCTGGGAGAAGAGATTTTCAACATAAAACCAACAAAAGACTAATAGAGAATATAGAGGGAACTCCTAAAATTAAAAAAAAAAAAATGGAAAAAGTTAGCAAAACAAATATAAACAGAGAATTAACAGAAATTGAAATCCAAATGACTAACAATATCATGAGGTATTGGAACTCATTGAAAATCAGAGGAACGCAGAGTAAAACAATGGAATACTAAAATACATCCTCAGATTGGCAAAGGTGAGAAATTTGGTGAGAATGTAGAACTCTCAGGCAGTACTGAAGGAAGTAAAAACTAGGAGAGAGAGGGGTGGCTGGCTGACTTGGTCAGCAGAGCATGCAACTTTTGATCTCAGGGTGGTGAGTTCAAGACCCATGTTGGGGGTAAAGCTTACTTAAAATCAAAACAAAACAAACAAACTAGCAGACTTCTGGAAAGCAGTCTAACAATACCTAGGGAAATTAAGTATGCAGAGGCCCTATGACTTGGAAATCCCACTGCTGGGCAAATTTTCAAAAAAATCCTTGTATAGGGCCATGAAAAGATACATCTAATAATACTTTCAAACTGGAAGCAATCTGGCTGTCTACAGGTTGGTTTATGAGGTTACTAGTTCCCCTATAGATAGAAGTCAAGAACTGAAATGCCTAAAGGACCGGTGGACATCTTTAATGGGTAAAGCTGGCCATATAAAGAGAATAACCTTACCTCTGGCATTAGAAAACAGCTGGCAGGTGGGACTTGGGACAAGATCTCTCCAAATATTAAAACTCCATTACTGAAAATAACACCTTTTACTAAGAAAGTAAAGATGCTGCCAATTATACAACACCATCATATTACAAAATATTACATATTACAAAATAATATTACATATTACATCATAATACAAAAATAGGGCGAAAATGTGTCCAGTGGTGAAATATAGTATTTCTGATTTTTTTTTAAGATTTATTTATTTATTTATTTGACAGACAGAGATCACAAGTAGGCAGAGAGGCAGGCAGAGATAGAGGAGGAAGCAGGCTCCCCACTGAGCAGGGAGCCCGATGCAGGGCTCGATCCCAGGACCCTGGGATCATGACCTGAGCTGAAGGCAGAGGCTTTAACCCTCTGAGCCACCCAGGCGCCCCTAGTATTTCTGATTTTTTACAGAGGCCATAAATCTGGGTTTTGATGTGAAATACAATCATTTAAAAACAATGGAAGCTAAGGCAGCTTTTTAAAAGAATAAAGATATTTATTTATTTATTTGAGAGAGAGAGAGAGAGAGAGCAACAACACAAGAGCAGGCTTGATCCCAGGACTGGGGGATCATGACCTGAGAGGAACGCAAATGCTTCACTGACTAACCCCCCAGACGCCCCGGAGGCTAACGGATTGTTCATTGAAAAAACTATGCTGGCCTGATTTCTGGAGGGCTCTGGACCTACCGGTTTCCAGCCTTAGCTAGCTTCATCTAATTACTGGTTCTGATTCTCTATTTGGCGATTTTCAGTAATTCTCATGGATCATGCTTTCAAAATCATTTAGAGCTGATTATTTCTTCACCTGAATATAAACCTAGGTTCCAGAACTTTTTACTTTCTTTGGTAGTGCTTTTCAGCTAAACGCCTGTAGAATAAAGTAAGGAAAGTGTGCGGGAAAACTACTTTTAAAAGTGGTATTTAATCCTGTGGTTGAAGGCAAGCATGACTTCCACATCATTTCAATTTCCTGGGCTCAATTTCTGCCCACTTACACAGCACTGGAATCACAAAAAGAAGCAACCAATTGTACTTGTTCTTCATAAACACCTCCACCAGACAGGACAATCACATACGTTGCTAAACAGCTTTGACTCTGTAATCAACCAACGACAACCCTTTTCAAACTGCTAGATGGAACTACCAAACCTGTAAGCAACACTGCACATTTTTTTAAACCTTTTTTCTCTTTTTTAAAGATTTTATTTATTTGTCAGAGAGATAGAGAGAGAGAGAGCGAGGACATGCAGGCAAAGTGGCAGGCAGAGGCAGAGAGAGAAGCAGGCTCCCTGCCCAGCAAGGAGCCTGATACGGACTTCATCCCAGGAATCTGGGATCATGACCTGGGCTGAAGGCAGTGGCTTAACCGACTGAGCCACCCGGGTGTCCCAACACTGCACATTTTAAGGAGGAGTTGAGGAGCATCAGTAAGTAAAATCACTCCTTCATAAAGGTCTTTGATTGGATAGATCACGGAGAGATTTCAAATCCCAGGTAGCAGTATGGACGCCCTCCAATTTTAGAATCACTTGAGGTGCACCGTCCAAATGCAATTCCCGAATCCCATTGCATTAAGAATTCATAATCTCCATTCCAGCAAGCTCAGTCTTCAGCCCACTATACTTATGCATACTGAAACTTGAGGAACATCTCCTAATACAGTCTATCCGAATGGGCTTTACAGGGCTACCTAATAACGCACTTACAGTCATTCAGAGGACAACCCGGGCACCTCACAGGTAAGGAGTACCGCGGCAGTCGGGGTTACACACACGCCTCTCATAACCAGCTCCCCGCGCCCCGTCTCGCCTGGGGGAAAATGACTGCTATGCACAGAAAAATCCTTATTCGCACTCCGCCTTCATCACCTTTCCCACTCTAATCCGCTCTTTTTCGAGAAGTTCCTGCTCTTTGCGCTCTCTTTCTCTGTCAGAGTCCCTCCACACGAACCCAACCTCCGATCTGCCCCAGGCCGCCCGCGCCCCAGACCACCCCGTGCCGGGGCTTCTCTTTCGCCTCAGGCCTCTGACTGCGGAGCTAGCGCCGGTGACCGGCTTCCTTCCGCTGCCCGAGAAGCGCTCCGACCCTCAACACGCCACAGTCACCCTTTTCCACCTCCAGTCTCCTCTCCTCTTCGACTACGAGGCCTAGAAGGTACTCACCATTCCGGCCGTTGCTACTGTCACTGCTCTGGTTGCTAGGGCCCGCCGAGGTCAGTGCGCTTGCGCACTTCTCGGAGCCCTCCGTGGAGCCCACCCCCGGCAGTGGTCCTTTCTCTCCGCCCTCCGGGTGGCGCGTGCGGGGCATTGTGGGACCGCCCGGCGGCCGCCTCGGTCCTCCCGCGAGTCGGCTGCTCGCTTCCAAGCATGTGCAGCGGGGCTGCTGGCCTCTCGCAGGATGCGAGAGCTTCGCCATGCAGGGTGGTCAGGAGATGCTTTCTACCGAAAGCAGTTTCACTCGCTCTGCAGGGACGTGCCTGCCTAAAGTTGAAAACCTCGCTATAAAATTGCCCTTCCCGTAAATAACTTTAAAAATTCCCTTCTCCCGCAGATTGCCCATCCGCATCCTTGTCTTTATCGCCTGCTGTAATTCACCTGTAGTTCGACCTAAACTAAATTCTTTTTTGTTGTTGTTGTTGTTCATTTTATGACTGAAACTACATTCAGCTGAATTTCCTCGGTTGCCTTTCCCCAACCCCTCCATGGAGCCAGAGGCGAATGAAAGCATAAAACGGTGGTTTTAGATGACCGAGATGTCCTCCCCTGCTCTCCTCCTATTAAATTAGACAAAAACTGTAAAAATACTGAGTTGCTAGGGGTATGGAGAAATGCGGTGGCGTATATACACTGCTCTTTATAACTGACACAGCCTTTGTGGAGAGCTGTTGGTAATAGTATGAAAAGCTTTCAAAACGTGTGCACCTCTGTGACCCAGCAGTTGGACTTCTAGGACTTCATCTTGAAGAAATAATCAGACAAGTGCACAGAGATTTATGTTCAAGGTTTTAATAGCAAAAAGTAAAATAACCCAAATGTCAAGGGGGGAAAAGATTGGTATTATCAAACAGCCAAACAATGAAATAATATAATTCCATGAAGAATGTAGCTGAAAGGGGCCCCTGGGTGGCTCAGTGGGTTAAAGCCTTTGCCTTTGGCTCAGGTCACGATCCCAGGATCCTGGGATAGAGCAACATATTGGACTCTCTGCTCAGCAGGGAGCCAGCTTCCTCCTCTCTCTGCCTGTCTTTCTGCCTACTTGTGATCTCTGTCAAGTAAATAAATAAAATCTTTAAAAAAAAAAAGAAAAAAAGAATGTTGCTGAAATGGGATTCCTGGGTGGCTCAGTCAGTTAAGCTTCTGACTCTTGATTTCGGCTCAGGTCATGATCCCAGGATCCTGGGATCCAGCCCCACACTGGGCTCCTTGCTCACTATGGAGACTGCTTCTCCTTCTCCCTCTGCCTGCCTCTCTGCTCACTTGCGCTCTCTCTCTCTGTCAAATAAATGCATAAAATCCTTTTTTAAAAAAGTTGTTGAAATGCATCTATTCACATGCAGTCATGATGTCCTAATTTAAAATGCAAGTTACCAAACAAAATAGTTGGTATAATCTTCTTGAAAATGATATACCGCAGGGATGCCTGGATGGCTCAGTCTGTTAAGCCTCTGACTCTCAATTTTGACTCCAGTCATGATCTGGGGGCATGGATCTCATCCTGGGCACGGAGCCTGCTTGGGATTTTCTCCCTCTCCTTCTCCCTCTGCCCCTGCTCCCACTTGAGCACACACACTCTCTCTCTAATAAATCTAAAAAAATTATATACCGTGCACACATTTATACATAACATATATCTAAAAGAATATTATGAGAGTCTAATGTTTGCTGCAGATTGAATTGTGTCCTCCCCACTCAAATTCATATCTTGAAGCTCTAAGTCCACTGTGACTGTACTTGGAAAGAGGGCTGTTACGGAGGTAATTTCAGTTAAATGAGGCCATAAGAGTGGGGCCCTAATCCAATATAACTAGTGTCCTTAGAAGAGGAATAAACATGCTAGGAGTGGTGGTCACAGAGGAAAGGCCATCCAAGGACACAGTAAGAAGATGGTCACCTGCAAGTCACCAAAAGAAGCCTCACCCAAAACTAACACTGTTGGCATCTTGATTTTGGAATTTCAGCCTCCTGTACTGTGAGGAAATAAATTTCTGTTGTTTAAGCCACCCGGTCTGTGGTATTCTACTATGGTAGCCTGAGAAGACTAATATGGTGTTCATTTTGCTTCTCTAATCTCTGGTTATTCTATTCTGGAATGTGAATACACACACACACACACACACACACACACACACACACACATATAAAATAAATTTTTAACTATTCAATTATTTAATATTTTATGTCTAATTAAATAATTAATATAAATATTAATTGAATTTAATATTTAATATTTAAATTATTTGGTTTATTTTTTAGATTTATTAATTTTTCTCTATTTTCTGATTATTCTATTCTGGAATGTGACTATTTATTTATTTATTTATATTTAATTTAATTAAAATTTTTAAAATTTTTTTTAAATTTTTTTAATAAACATATATTTTTATCCCCAGGGGTACAGGTCTGTGAATCGTCAGGTTTACACACTTCACAGCACTCACCATAGCACATACCCTCCCCAATGTCCATAACCCCACCCCCCCTCTCCAAACCCCCTCCCCCCATCAACCCTCAGTTTGTTTTGTGAGATTAAGAGTCACTTATGGTTTGTCTCCCTCCCAATCCCATCTTGTTTCATTTTAATTAATTTTTTTTTTGTAGATAGGCTAGGCTCCACTCCAGGCATGGAGGCCAACATGGGACTTGAACTCATGACCCTGAGATCAAGACCTGAGCTGAGATCAAGAGTTTGACCCTTAACCAACCAAGCTACCCAGGAGCCCCTGTAAAGTGGATATTTTAAATTTTGAAATAACAAATAAATTCCATTTTGGAAAAGGTGATTGAATCAGATTTAAAAAAAAAACAGGAAACACGGAATTGTTTATTAAAGAAAATTAAAATGGGTATTCATAGGGGCGTCTGGATGGCTCAGTCAGTTAAGCATCTGCCTTTGGCCCAGGTCATGATCCCAGGATCCTGGGATGGAGTCCTTCATCAGGCTCCTTGTTCAGTGGGGAGCCTGCTTCTCCCTCTGCCTACCACTCCCCTTGCTTGTTATTTCTCCGACGAATAAATAAATAAAATCCTTTTAAAAACTTTAAAAAAATAAAATGGGTATTCATAACATATCTAGCCTTTTTGCTTGTAGTGTTTTGTTTCGTTTTGTTTCAGATCTCCATACTACCACACCTCTCCAAACTAGAATTTATCCGGGCTGCCAAAAGAGCCACCAGTTTTGCTGAGGTGGCTGAAATGGGAATTTAATCCTTGAACGTATCTTCTAACCTAATAGAGTATGCCTTTTGCTCAAAACTGTGGATTACATCAGAAGGCATTGGCATTAAAGGTAAAATACCACTAGTCAATCCATTCCTTCTTCATGCCTGTTCAGAATGTTATTTACTTCCTCCTCATCATCGGAGGAGGAAACTTTGACTATGAATATGTCTTATTTACCTCCAAATAAACTATTTACCACTATATAAGCAGAAATGTGCTGAGTTTCAGATTCTCAAAGGTTAAAACCATTCACACAGGAAAAGAAAGAATTATAGAACTTGGATCCTTTCTTAGTTCTTCTGAGTCCTACCAAATGGCAAAATAGATTCAAAAAGCTGTTCACCAGAGACTACGGCTTTGGATCTACTTGCTCTTCCTGCAGGCCTAGAAGAAAGTTGAGAGAAAGATTAAAACTACTATTGAAACAGTTTCCCCAAATTCAGAAAATCTGGCAGACCCGTTGAAAAGTAAAGGTAAAAGAGGTGAATGGTAGCCACTGAATACGTTAAGGAATCTTTAATTCTCTGAACAAGAATGTGGGTTGAATAAAAGAGAAAGAAAATGTCACATTTACCAGATGATTAGAGATTGAGCAAAATAGCTAAAAGTTACATACTTTAAAATTTAAAAAAAAATTTAAGAATTTAAAGCTTAGGAGGGTCATTAATTGTTAAGGTTATTTATACAGTCAAAGGTTTATCTGTTCAAATAGAAATGAGCTTTGTAACAAATTCCAGTAGTGAGTTTCCCAGATTATTATTCTCATTATAATTATTTGATAAAAGCCAATTTCTCCCCTATGGTTTTGGTCTGTTTAAAAAAAAAATTTTTTTTTAAATCTTACATGAATGGGGTTCATGTAAGTTAAACCTGTCTTTGGCTGAGGTCATGATCCCAGAGCCCTGGGATAGGAGCCCCCAAAGGGCTCTGCTCTGCCCTTCCCCCTGGTGCTCTTGCTTTCTCTCAAATGAATAAAATCTTAAAAAAAAACTTACATGGATAACCCAAAAATCAGGAGGTAGTACATATGTATTTAGGTATGTATAAAGTATGATACATATACTTTCTTTTGATGTTAATAATTTGAAACATATATTATGTTTTAAAAATAAGGTTAATTTGGGGGAGGGAAACTATTTTTTTTTCTTTCATTGATGGGGTAACTGTTGAATTTTTTTTTTTAAGATTTTTTTTTTATTTATTTGACAGAGAGAGAGAGATCACAAGTAGGTAGAGGGTGGGGGGAAACAGGCTCCCTGCCAGAGAGCCCGACGCGGGGCTCGATCCCAGGATCCTGGGATCATGACCTGAGCCGAAGGCAGAGGCTTTAACCCACTGAGCCACCCAGGTGCCCTGAGGGAAACTATTAATACTACAAATTAGGGTGCCAACACTTCATCCTCTGCCAAGAGCCCAAAATATAGTTCTCACCACAGGATCCACTGATCAAGCAAAATCAAAGGCTGATAATTAATACTTTAATCTTCCCCTTCAATTATGTGGAAGAAAAAACCACTAAACTGAAAGTACATTCTGAGACCTTTTAACATCTTCTAATTCCACACATATTTTTTTAACGTTTATTTATTTCTTTATTTGACAGAGAGAGAGGTCACACGTAGGCAGAGAGGCAGTCAGAGAGAGGGGGGGAAGCAGGCTCCCTGCTCCCAGGACCCAGAGACCATGACCTGAGCCGAACAAAGGCAGAGGCCCAACCCACTGAGACACCCATGTGCTCCTCCACACGTA